GTTGAGAAACACTGGGCTATTTTAGTACGAGATATTACAGAAAAGTATGATTTTCATAGACAGTCCTAGCAATACTCCCAGTTAAGATGGCAGTGCATGTCTGGCTGTAGAATTGATTTTTTTTCTTTCTAAAATGGGGTGCCTCAAGACTGTCCATAATTTTAAAGGGTGCCTTGACTGAAAAAAGGTTGAGAAACACTGGGCTATTTTAGTACGAGATATTACAGAAAAGTATGATTTTCATAGACAGTCTTAGCAATACTCCCAGTTAAGTTGCCAGTGCATGTCTGGCTGTAGAATTGATTTTTTTTCTTTCTTTACTTACATGCAGTGGCAAAAGACCAATCTGGTAAATTTCAGTTTGAAAAAAGGTCTTTTTCAAGATAGATATATGGAGGTATAACCAATTGAAACAATTTGTGGGAAATTGACGAAGCCTCTTAGAATTAGAAAAGATTGGAATTTATTTGAGAAGTATTTGGAAGTTCGAGGTGATGGGAAGCACAGCACTGCTAAAGTATATAAAATTCTCACTGATCTAGATAGTAAGTCAAAATTAAAGTACATAGAAAAATGGGAAAGGGATTTAGGGGTGGAGTGGGAGGAGCACACACAAAGAAAAATATATAGACTGGTACATGAGAATGTTAGTATGCATGAGGTGGAAATGAACTTCAAATGTTTGATAAGGTGGTATGTTACACCGACGGTAGAGCACCAGATGAGTGGGGAGAAACAAGCTTGGTGTTGGCGAGAGTGTGGAGGGTAGGGCACGATGTACCACATATGGTGAGAATGTTCAAAAATACAAGTATATTGGAGAAAGGTTATAAATCAAATTAGGATTATTACCGGAACTGAGATTGGACTGGACCCTGAAACTTGTCTTTTTCATATCACAAAAAAATCAGTGAATAAATATAAAGATCTGGGTATATGGTGCTGGGTATCTAAATGCAGCAAAAAGTTTGATACCTAGGTTTTGGCGCAAAGTTGAGGCACCGAGGGAAGAGGATTGGATGAATAGAGTGGACCAGATTGCTAGATTGGAGAAACTATATTACATACAGGAAGATAGGATGGTGGCATATTATATGAAATGGGAGAAATGGGAGGAGTTTAAGGTAAAGGTGAAAGAAGTTACTTTGTAATTAAGTATAAAAAAAAAGAAAATATATAGTAATTTGTCTTTCTTCCTTTTAAAAATTTGTACCCAGAGGATGTGAGATATAAGTCGATCAGATAGATGTCAGGGGTTCATTGGAGAGGGGTGGGGCGGAGGGTGGGTTGAAGGAAGGGGGTTATGGGGAGAAAAATGATATGCAATAAGTGTTTTTATGAGAATTTTGCTATGTTGTATTTCCATTTTGGATTTTTTTTGTATTGTTATATTTGAAAATGAATAAATATCTAAATTAAAAAAAAAAAAAAAAAAAAAAAAAAAAAGGTCTTTTTCAGGTAGCATTAGCAGCAACACATGCTTTTCCGCAAAACAGTAATATGTCCACTTTGATGACGGATAGAAGTTGGTCAGTAGTTCACTGTGGTTTTCTGTATTCTTGCTGATGCCAAACTGTACTGACCAGAAGCAGGACATTTTTGATGAGAAAGAATTGGTCAAAATGTACTAAAGAATAAGGGTAAAAGCAGATGTTAATAAAGAATTACTAAAGACATTAGGATACTACAGAAGATACAGCAGTGATTGGTGATTGGCCAGAAGCACGACAGCTTTTCTATCATTAGGGATAATAGGCGAAACTGGTGTATGCCTAACTTTTCCTTTGTCTATGGGGTGTGTTAAATGTGAGTGATATGAAATGAGGTTTGAGGCACACTGTACTTGCATATTTTAAGGCACACACTGTTTTTGCACTTTTTTTTTAAAGGATGTAGTGACATTCTGTGAACAAAAGGCAGCTTGAAGAACAGATGGTCAGTAACAATTGGATACTAAATTAAAAAGTCCTATCAACATAAAATGGAATAAAAAAAAAACAGAAGAGAAATGAAAAACCTCCAATACCCCTCCAATGATATTATGATATGAGGGGTTTAATGAACAGGTCACATACAGTGGAAATTAAGTTGTTACTGCACAGATGTGCAGAATAAGGAAGGCGAAGAGTTAATATAAAGGTCACATACAGAGATAGGCTGGCGATCAGATGTGTAGGAGAGGAGGGGTAGTGTAAGGGCTAAAAAAATTTTTCTCAGTGTGAGTGTAAATGAATTAATTGATGAGCAGCTCTAACTGCAGATAGGAGGGAGGGAGGATAAGGATCTACTATGTATAGCACATTTTTTCTTTTGCATTTTTATCACAAGGTATCCAGCTGCTGGTAGACACACGGTATCTGTCTGTGTATCGAGCCATCAAAGGACAGCTTGATACACAGCAGTTTGCTGCCAGACTGGCTGTCATTTGCCTTTTTCCAGAGTACATTTTTAAATGGTGATCAGTAAATAACAGTCCACCAATCTGCTTTTTGCCAGGATCACAAATCTCAGAGCTGTCATATTCGAATTGAACCTATGATAGCAGTATTTTACCTTACCAATCAACCCTTTCTTCAGCTTTAAAAAATATTTATCAGCAAGTTTAAGAAGTTCCAAAATGCAAGCTTTAGTCTATTGGTCTTTAGTATCCATAGGTTACCATAGAAAGAAGTGGACCTTTCCATCCTCAAAACATAATACAAACACTCCCCAGCATCTTCCCCATCTTTTAGGTTACATTCACACTTTGTGTGCATCTAGGAGAGATCACTGCAGGTAATCACAGTCTGTGCGGATTCAGCGGCTGCAGCTAGCCACTGACACCTGTCAAAAACATCAGTAGGCATCAGCAGATTCGCTCATGCGAATGTAGCCTTACATTACCCTAACCTATGAAGTGGATCTAAATCCAATCATTTATAACTTATATGAGCTGTAAACAGTTAATTCACATTTTCAGAAAAAAAATTAAAAAGGTGTACTAACACCGTAACGTTCCCCACCCCCCTGGTCCTTGCTGTACTTACCTCCATGGGTGATGAGCTGTCAGTGCCTACACAGCCAATGTAAAAATCCCTGCTATTTTCCCCTTCTTTCTGCAGAATTTCAGGGATAGATCAGATCAAGTCTCTGCTGGCGCTTACCAATCAGAATTGCTTTTATCCACCCTGGAAGTCTTGCAGAAAGAAGATGTCAATGCAATTTAAAAAGTTGTTTTCAGTCTTTTTTCAGGTAATTTTTGTGATGGAGTGACAACTGTCTCTCAGTTGTGCACCAACGTTTTCACTCTGTCACATGTGCCCCTGGTGGAGACTAAAATCTCTTTTGCAACATGCATTGCTCAGGCATAGTCTGCTATGGAACTCAGTCCAGAGCAATGATGTTTAGCCAGTAATTGGGTGTACGTAGACAGGATGTGGCTGAAAGGGCTATAGAAAATCAGCAGCAATGAAATACATGAATGGTGAATAAGTAAAAACAGCTTTTAATTAAAAAAGAAAAAAATAGCAGTTGTTACAGTGCTTTAAAAAACTAAAAGTTATCCAATTGGGGTTTATAACTACTTTAAGCTAACACACTAAACTGAGCCTGCATAGTAAGCCTAATTCCTGAAATAAACTCTTAACAGTTAACCATATCCCTTGAACCTCACTGTAACCATAATGCTTAATCCCTAAAACTATACCTGGTCCTAACACTTAACCCTGGCCTCTTTTTTATCCTTAACTCTTGGCCTAACATATAAAGTAATGCCTATTATTCACCATAAAACGTAACCCAACTTACTAAACATCATCGTTTAACATCTAAACCTACTCTTAACCTAATTCTAATACTAACATTGACTTTCCTGATCTAAAATATTGTTGGATGTTTACAGAGGAGTGCCTGGTACAAAAGTTCATCTCACTTAGAGGACTTTTTGAAACATTTAAGAAACTTTTTGAAACATTGGTTAAGAGCATCAGACACATTCAACAAATTTCAGGGGAAGAGGACTCCGCCTTCTTTAGGACTTGAGCAATTGATAGCAAAAGAATTACAACAGAATATTCTAAGGGTCCTGTGTTAGGGCTTGATGAAGACTAGTATCTTCTAATAGCACTAAAGGTGGCCAGCTCATCTAGGACATTGAAAGCTCCCTTTCTTTTATATACTTCTATATATTTTTTTTATCAGTGTCTACTAACCTTTTTTAATAGAAATCTGCCTCTGTATTGTGTATTGTTACACTCTAAAAAGCTATTTTCAGTTGACTTCTCCAAAATCATTTATTTTTCTATCAATGGTCCTCAGAGGATAAGTTAATACTGCTTATCCTGGTAGGCTGCCTCCTTTGTAGAACTGTTATAGAATTTAGATCTCTTAAGGGATCTTTAGCTGTATGGGTGTAATGAGGACCAAATTGGTATGTATGATCAGATCTAAGGCTGGCCATACACTATAATGCAATTTTCTGTCCAATATCTGCCCAATTTCCTTTAGATTTACCTTCAACTATCTAGTGCAAAAGCCTCCTTAATTGGATACAATTGAAAGTGTTGTTAGGTTTGACCTATTATTTGGTTTTTGGTATATCTAAACCAAAAATCTCAAGAAAAATTGTATAATGTATGGCCAGCCTTAGAGGAGTCTGGATGAACAGCTGCAATACATTGAAATTTAAAATGAACATATAGTATTTTCAAACAAAATTGCCTTATCTGCTATGTATAAATAATACATACATCTTAAAAACATAACTTTATTGAAGAAGAAGACACAACACCTTAAAGACAAAATAGGACATGTTTTCAATGAAGACATTCTACAACAATTCCAGAGTCTCAATTAAATAGAATATTGCTTTTAGCTCAGAATTTCACAATTGAGGGTTTATACCTCAATCCACATGCACAGGTCCATTTGCTACATTTTGCATGAAGAGTGACTATTCATTACCATAAGAATCATATCATTATTGTTTATTTCCTTTAAAAAAGGCATACTAAAGCTATAGTTCAAGCTAAAGTGCCATCAAGTGGCTCCTTTTCCTCCGGACTGCCATGTTCTGCTACAGGAGCTAAGCGTTCCACTTCCTTAAGCTCCCTGTGGTATTTTGCCATAATGGCAGCATAGGCACAACCATAGATGGCTGCTGCCAACATCATTAGGCATACAATCCCACAAACCACACCAGTGATGACAACAGTGGCTATGGCATGTCTCAAGCTCACCGGACGGGGTTTGGGCTTTGGTTCGCATTCGTGGTGACTGCCATCTATATGATCAGTGTGGTGTCCATGTTTGCCATTACTCCTGTGCTCGGGGCTGTGATGGTGAATATTTGCCATAACGGGTGGAGCAGTCAGTGGAGTACAAGTCTTAAACATCTCATAAGGGATCTTCAGGAGATCATTCCCCTTTCGAATTGCAGGGCCACTGCATATTAGCTCGTCAATAATCCCTCCTAAAAATAAAAAAAATTATTAAAACAAGATAATGAAAAAAAATGCATTGTATATAACAAAAAGAATGTGTGTTGCATAAGAAGGATAGTGCTGGCTGTTAATGTATGGATTAAAAGGTTTTCTAAACTGTTTCTAAATCCAAGAACAGCAAACTGTTGCAGCTTACCAGTACTTGGATGTGGTAGCTGCATTAGTTTTGTTTTTCTTTATTTCCTTTTGTTTCACCTGGTGATAATGCCACTAGTGCTAGAGTAACAATGCTCACTCACTGTACTGTATTTATGAAGGAGAAGCTTTTCACCCAAGGCTGCTGTCACCTAATTTGAACTACAGAACCCCCCTCCTCCATCGCCATAAAATGGATGGAGTGGGTCAGGGGCGGGCTGACCATTTGGAAACTCGGGCACTGCCCGAGGGCCCGGGGTCAGTAGGGGATGCCCCTGGTACCCTTTTCATAGGCTTTTTTGAGTTTGGGCAAGAACACAGGGGCCCCAGGATCCCTTATTGCCCGGGGGCCCCGTGAGTTGTCAGTCCGCCCCTGGAGTGGGTGTTTCTGTAGTTAACTTATTAGAACTGGCCAGGGCTGAAAATACTACTTGTGCATTGCCCTGCAGTGCAAATTTCAGTCCATTCATTTGCACTGGTTGCAGTGCATGCACTACTTTTGAGAAACACACCACACCAAATCGCATGATACTGCAGTACCATGGGACCTGGTGCCCACAAACACACTTTGCAATCTGCATTCAACTGCCATTAACATTTTATTGCCCCCCGTAGCACATCGCAAAGGCAGTGTGTTTTAAACCAGTTGTGGGACATGCTCATTGAGTGCACCTTTCCCGCACCACTTTCTGGTGTGAAATGGCCCTTAGTCTGATGTACTGAATATGTTTTATTTTTTATTTTTCCCTGACTCATATTGTTTAATTTAGATGCGCTATGCATATTTGTGTTTACATCTATATTATCATCCATGGCAAACATATCTTGCAATAAGCAATAAGGCACACACAACTTTTTTGTTGAAAGGGTTGTATGTTTGTAGGCAGCTGCCGAACCCTAGCCGAGCGACTGTGAGTTTTTCAGTTCCCTCCAAAAAAATTAAAAGTCAGCAGCTACAAATCTTGTAGCTGCTGACCTTTAAAAAAAGAGCATTTACCTGTCCAGGGATCCAGTATTGTTCTCACCTGTGCCAGTTCTTCCCCGGTCTTTTGGTCCTAGGGGCTGCCATGTTAACTGTGGGAAGCCCACTATGACTCCTTTTGGCTTTACAGCCGGCTCCCCACTATGCATGCACAAGTCCACTGCACCCTGTATATGGTCCCGCAGCCTCCTGGGGCCTGTGGCGTGTCCCAAGAGGGATAGGGCAAGTGAACTTCTGCTTGGATCTCCTAGGTGACCTGGGTGGAAGTGAGAGCAAGCGCTTGTCACAGGTACCAGCTCCCCCCCCATCCCTCCAAAAAAACTGTCCAAAAGTTGAAGAGGAGGAGGGGAGGAGGCAGAAAAGTGGAACTTTCTTCTAGGGCTGACATTCTGCTTTAAGTATTAAACACTTTGGGGGAGATTTACTAAAGCTGGCACACACAAAATCTGGTGCAGCTGTGCATAGTAACCAGCTAGTTTCTAGATTTTATTGTCAAAGCTTAAATGGTTACCATGCACAGCTGCACCTGATTCTGGGAGCACCAGTTTTGGTAAATCTCCCCCTTTTAAACTTGCTTTATACAGAATGCTTATCCAGTAATTTACTTTATCTCAGCAACTGTTTAGCAAGAATTCTGCTTGCACTGCCTGAAATACTTAGCTACTAAATCATTATTAAACTATGAGCATTAAAAAATAGGTAACAACAACAAATGGTAAAAGTCACATGAAAAATCAGTTATAAAATTTAAGTATGTGTATATGCCCAAACGTATTATCTTTGTTTATTATCATGTTATTTATTACAGGTACTTATATAGCACCATCAATTTGTGCAGCACTTCACACACACACACACACACACACACACACACACACACACACACACACACACACACACACACACACACACACATATATATTTCATTTACATCAGTCCCTGCCCTCTAGGAGCATACAATCTAAGGTCCCTAACTCACATATACACATACTAGGGTCAATTCAGAGAGGAGCCAGTTAACCTACCAGCATGTGTTTGGAGTGTGGAAGGAAACCGGAGTACCTGGAGAAAACCCACACAGGCACAAGGAGAACATGCAAACTCCATGCAAATGTTGTATCCCTACTGGGAAGTATAGCCTGTTTTATTTGTCCTGGTTACCATTGTTACAAACAGTAGTGGGGAGGAATCCAAATATACTTTTTCACCAGAACAGAAAGTAAAGGAAAAATCCTGTTCCAAAGGTAACTATCCAAGCAAGGATTTTTATTCTCAGGTAGTAAAGAGGAATCTCCTCAATTGAATGCAGACAGCACAAAAAAACTGATGGGTTTAAACCTTTCCCTACTCTTTCCAAAAAACTAAAAAAAAAATGCTTAATACACTGTAACAAAAATAACTCAAAATGTGTACCTACAGAACACAAACTACATTACCCTTTTTAAAGTAATTTAAGTATTACTTGGAAAAAATATTCAAAATAATAATAGTAATAATAAAGCTGATGAGTGGTGTTTTTTTATAATGTAGGGAATATGTAATTATAGTTCTTTTATGCAGTAGAGATTGGTGGGGATTTAGATCCCTGTACATCTCTGCATTAAAGACGGATCAGATAATCGGCTATTTGACAGAGATACAGCCCATAATCTTTTACCTGGCACAAAGAATACATATTTTAGGCATATGGCCGACTGGAATCTGCACCAAGAATTTTTTGTATCCCAGAATACGTTTGGATCACTGTGGGTTTTTTGCTTTTTTTTTTTTGTGAGGCTTTTTATTTATGGACAGAACCTCTAGAGGAAATAAAGACAACTGCTGCCAAAAGCCTCCAAATAATTGGCTTGGTTTTGCAAGCTTTATGCAGCAATTTGTGATACTAGAAAAAATATTGACCAATTTAATGGGACCACAGAAACTTCAACTCATAAAATAAACGATTTTTAGGAATGTAGGAAAAAATAGGTAATAAACCATTCCAAAAAGTAAATAATATACGTATATGTGAATTTCTAATAAACATTGGTGTATGGACATTTTACTTAAAATGTGTGTATAACTAAAACTATTTTAGTGTTTGGATAACTGTTAAAAGCCTTGGTGTATTTTTTGATATGTGTGTGCTCTTGGGGAGATTTACATTTACCTCCTGCCCAAAAAATGCAAAAGTTGGAAATTTACCCTTGATCTGGTGACAACTATAAAATTTAGTATTTTCCAACACTTTCAATTTTAATGACAGTAGTCACCTGGACCAGGTTACTCCCAGCAAGGGAGTGAAGTGAAGTGTAGAGGGATTAGAATGCATTTCAGGTTTTCATTTCTGCCTGTGTCCCTGTTAGGAAGATTTATCTTGTCACGATTTTTCCTTTTTACCGTTATTACCAAAAGTAAAAGAAAATCCCAAACTTTGAGCTGTCACCAGAACAGGAGTAGAGATTTTCCTAAGGAACACTAATGCTGGTGATCCTGATGTCAAGCAGAAATTCTCTCACTTTTCCCCAATGGGACACCGACTGAAAAAATACTGACAGAGGTTATAACACTCCTTTACTCTATTCAAAATTTTTTTTAAGTTTTGCCTTTAGTTCTACTTGAGGCTGGACATTGCTTATAGTTGAATTTTACCCATAACAACTTGTTAAAAATGAATGTTAATTTACAATGAACTTACTTTCCATATTAAAAATTACGCTACCAAAATTAGAGGGTGCTTTAAATTGCCTCCAGCATTGTTCATGTTTCTTTGTTTCAGATGTTTCAGATTGCCTCTAGAAATTCAGCACAGTACCAAAAAAATGAAGAGCAACTGATCATGTGCGGAGCCCAATCCAATAATGGATTGGACTCCGATCCATTATGCTCAATCCACAGATCCGATCCATCCTGCGGGGATCATCGGCTTTCTTTACAACTTACCTTTTCTTGGAGCGGGTCCGGTGTCACCCCGTATAGGTTGCATGCTGACGATCCTGCGGGGATCGTCGGCTTGCTTTACAACTTACCTTTTTTTTGGAGCGGGTGCGGTGTCACCCCAGGTGGTCGGTGTCACCCCCTGCATCAGCCTCAGGACGCCACTGATCATATGCCGCCTTGAGTAATTAGGTATATCGCGGACCTAGGGCTCAGCCCTCGGTTACGAGACTCATGTGAACAATGATTGGAGTATAGGTACAGGCCAGAGCAATTTACAAAGGGGTGGCCATCTATTCCCCTCATGTCATGTCCCCCTTTTGGGCAATCCTCAGTTGCAACATTTTTTTTACCTCCCAGATCCCTAAGTATGGGCTGCTAAGGGTATTGTCACCTTAAAACATATTGTTACTGTTGGGAGGATCTCTTCCTTCACTGTACTGTGGACTAAATTTGACCTACAACTGCGACATGCGGCTCAGGCCCAATTTCCTGACACAATTGTGCTTCGATGCTTGCTGACATCGAAGGTGATGGGAAAACCGCTATCTTCCCTTATCTTTGCCACAAATGCCAAGGCTTTTGACAAATGGGAACTGACATTCGCGACCTCTCTGATGATGACTGGGGGGACTGCATAGGTCCCTATGTAACTAATATGATTTCTACTAGGGATAGACTTATACAGCTTAAGTTCTTACATAGGGTTTCTTATACCCTACAGAGGCTAGCAGTTATCTACCCCTCGCTTAGCCCTTGCAACACCCATATCTGTTCTTTGTGCTTTATTATGCCAGAAGGGAAATTGATTTGTTATGGAAAAAAACTGCCCCACCTACAGTAGAGGGTTGAAAGTCCACAGTTAAAGTGGTCTTGCCATTGTATAAAATCACCTATGAGAGTAGAAATAGCCCCCAAAATTTTGATAAAATATGA